ATTTTATATTTTTATCACTTTTTATACTGAGTACACTAACAAAAACATATGTACCTTCTGCTGGTCTGGCAAATCGGGGTTTCTCAAAATAGGTATTATGTGCATTTAGGTAGGTATGAAAGTTGAAACAGTTGTCGAACTATATCAACACTACTGGCCATTAAGTCTTTGATAGAAATGTCGATTATATAATGCGATGTCACGTTTTGAAAACTATTAACTGATTAACTCATGGTGTAAGAAGGCATTATATGGTGTATGGATTATATTATAATCTATAACCGATATGACTGGTAGCACAGAAACACAAGTGCAGTGCATTGCAGAAACAGGTATTATGTTAGGTAGGTAGGTTGAAGTAGCGGCCTTGTATCCCAAAAAGCCCACTTGAGCTCAAATGATGGCACATTGTGGTACCACAGGAAAGAGGTATTACACGCAAAAAAAGTGAAGCTACCGCCTTTATAACATGTAAGGCGCCAACGACGACAGATCAAAAATCTGCCGAACACTCGTATTCGCTTAGATAATGCCTGTAAATGTTGGAATAGTATTCCATGAAGGACTGCGCTCAATCCCAACAATAAAAAGTGGGGTCACAAAGCATGTAGTGAATTCGGATTTTATTTGACCCCACGGATGCTTTTCAAAATCCGTTTTCACCATTTTCAGTTGGCAGATAGTCTATTCTGTCCAAACTATTGACCACATGTCCGATATAAAGAAGAGCGCGAACGAAAGGAGAATGAAAATAAGAACAGTTGAAGTAACATAACAGCATGGATGAATAGTGCACCGATCACATTTTCAAACTCTGTTAAGATAGGCAATTATATTAATCACAACCTTCTCGTTATATATGGAATGAACCAAGTACAAAACCATAATTTATATATAAAACTTTCACAGTTTTATCGCGGTCACCTATTGTAAAAAAAATTCATATCGTGAAATAATAAATCATATATGATACAGACTAGAGTTTATAGATAATGGTAGATACCAGTTGTACTCCATCTCGCAAAAGATACTGCTCATTTAGGATCATAGTTGATAGGTGATATTGGGAGATATTTTAATTAGAGCAAACTTAGTATTAGGATCGAAGACTGTGGTTCTACGAATCTTAGACACACGTTATCTAGTGAAATACAGTTAGGTACTGCCATCTCTTATTTAGACTAGGAAACCATATTGTCGTTTTAACAAAAGATGCAGTGTCTTTAGTAATAATTTTATTCCAGCGATGTTTCAAGTATATTGTGAAAGCAGAGGAACCGAAAGTCTATATATGCGTTTTGCATAAAGGTCTTAACTGATATAATTCTTCTTCTTAATAATGTACCATCGGTGCTGCAGTCGGATTAGATGGAGACGAGCGATTGAGTCTAGTAGTTACTGGTGCAATCTACTTTGCAATTCATGAGCAGTAGATCTCTTAGCTGTTGAGCAGTTAGGAGATCTCAGGTCCTTATTGACAATTTTAAACAGCTTTTGAGATTAATATAGAGGAGTATGGAAATTTTAAATTCTCTTTTAAATTTTTTAAATACTTTGTAGCTAAAGTTTAGGTAAAGAAGGAATCGTAAGCTTTTTCTTTTACAAATGCAATCGAATGCATTACTTTACTAAGTAGATATTATTTTTATGTGTTTAAATATTCTATATTTCCTTGTCTATCCACGAAACAATTAAAACTGAATAATTGTAGTTTTAAAAAAATTTAGTTTTATTTAAAATAAGTTTCTTATAATATAAATATTGCCTTGTCAATGTTAACACTTTGTGGCAAGGGCCTGGAGCAGCGCATAACTTTATCGTTAACTTTCATGCCACGACAACTTCCCTTGTCAGCTCGACGCCATACTGAAGTAAAAAAAAACAAATATTCAAGAAATTAAATAAAAAAGAAACTAATTTTTACACTGGATTCTAAAATAAACTTACATCCTCTTGGCCGCGAGCGACAGTTCATGTTTTGGAGTTCGCAAGTGTTAGCAACCAGTCGGCACCATCTGCGGTTTGTGCTTCTGACACACAATGACTGGCCAGCTGGGCGAGGACATTTTCTAATGACACACACTGGTGGAGGCATGCGTCTGCAACGAGCTACGCGACCCACTCGAATATTTCTGCATTGTGCTACGGCCGTTCCCCTCCAACCTTGGGTGCAGTTTGTATGAGAAAATGTTAATTTTTTTTTGCATAATGAAGAGATTTGATTTTGCTTTTACTTACGATTTCTTCGTGCTGGAATTTTGCAGTTGGTCCTATCGTATTCACATACACTTCTGAATCTACGACACATGCCACGACGATTGCGCCCACAAACATTTCGACTGCGTCGTGTACAATTTTTACGTGGCCTACAAATTCTGGTAGTTGTTGATGGAACTGTCACACGTGCTGTAGTTCTTGAACGTGTAGGCTTAGTAACTCTTGTAGGCCTGGTACGTCTCGTTGGCTTGGTAACTCTTGTAGGCCTGGTAGCTCTCGTTGGTTTAGTTGCCCGTGTCGGCCTGGTGACTCGTGTAGGCTTTGTAACTCTTGTAGGCCGGGTACGTCTCGTTGGCTTGGTAACTCTTGTAGGCCTGGTAGCTCTTGTTGGTTTAGTTACTCGTGTCGGCCTGGTCGCCCGTGTAGGCTTAGTAACTCTTGTAGGCCGGGTACGTCTCGTTGGCTTGGTAACTCTTGTAGGCCTAGTAGCTCGCGTTGGTTTAGTGGGCCTTGTACGAGCTGTTGTCGTTCTTCTTCTACGTGTTGTAGTAGTTGTAGCTCTAACTGTTGTAGATTCAGGTGCATCTGTTAACGGTTCTGGTTCCTCTGTTGTTACTGCTGTTGTTGTTGTTGTATTATTTTGTGCTTTGGTTAAACTATTTGCATAAGCAAATATTAATAGAGCAACTGTAATGGAAATCATGCACCATAAGAAAAATGTTTCTTTTAATTACTTTGACTTACCAAATACCAAGTGTATGGTCCTGCACATTTTTTCGGTTTATCTGTTATGCTTGAGTGATATCTTATGCTAATTAACTGACAGTATTTATACTAGCATTCTACCAGCTCTACTCATAACTCACTTTTGTTGAAAACATTCTGCATATTCACTACCAAATCCAACTGTTTCTGGCAACTTCCGCATTTTCAGTAGTAAATGACTTCATTTTTGTCAGTTTCTTGCCACTTGAAGACAGACAAATTAATTGTTGTAATTTTGTTTACTGGAGAAGTTGTTTAATTGCTCACATTTATAAACATTATTGTTATTATTTCTTGTGTGTTCTCTGCTTAATAAAATATTTTTCATGAAAATTTGTTAATGATTTTTTAGTAATTAAAATTGTTTCGTTGGTAACGCTTTGAAAGCAGAAACCCTTTCTGTTCAAAGAGCCAAAAAATTACATGTAATCCGACATGAAATATAAAGCAACAAAAAAACGCTTACAATTTAGTGTCTTTTTATTCGGAATTAATTTTTTGGGACTTTATAATTCTGATATTTCTCATTTTTAACGGTTATTAACTTTGGCAATGAGTTTCTGTCTTGAGCTCTTCGCGTACGCCTCCTTGCGGTTCTCCTAGGTTTTATGAATTATTTGAATTTGTCTTGAGCGGCGGTGCTACGCGGCGTATACGTAACCTCATAACCCAAAACAATTCAGCGAAGGAAATGAACTGGAAATTCGCGTAATTGGACTTGATTTAGTGTTTCTTCACGCGCCATTTTATTGCTTCGTAGACATGTGTTTTCCTTTATTATTATTTTTATTCATTCCTTATATTATTTTATTTTATTTCATTTTATTTTATTTCATTTTGGTTTGGTTTGGTTTGGTTTGATCTGGGAGCACATTTCAAAGCCGCGACGCAGCGAGGAGTTTGGAGAAAATTATTTTATTGAGTGCAATTGTTTTTTTTTTTTCTTGGGTACGAAATTTAGGAATTTTTCTTCCCTTCGGTTCACTTTCTCCTACTCGGAATGTCTTTGTTCTTTGCGCTCGTAAGGGAATCTTTTGATTTTTATTTATGTGTTTTTGTTGTAAAATTGTTGAAAGTTAATGGCTTAGAAAGCAATTTTTAGCTGTTTTCGCTTTTGTTTTATGTACTTGTGGAACTTAATTAGCTTATATTTGGATGCTTTATTGCTGCAAAACAGATTTCTGGAATTTATGCCTTTCACTGAACCCTAACGAGTTTAGCTTTTATTTAAGAGCCAAAAAAATAGAGCTTTTTTTTAATACGTATATCTATTTATCTATTCCTCAAGGTTTGTAGAAAATAAATTTATAAAAATAATGTCATATTTTACAAAATATATGATAAAAATACATGTTTTTAATATACCTTCTGCTCAAAAAGTATTCGGATTTTGTTATTTGTTAACTACTCCTTAAGTAATAGACCTTTTTCAAAAGGTTTTGTTTTTTATTAAGTTGGTAGACTCTTTCTTGACATATGGTACAAATTTGAGCGCCATCTGTCAATTAGTTTGTTTACAGCAGCTGTTAATGTGAGACTACTTCAAGTACATTTAGCGATTTTTACTATGGAAAATACTTGTACGCGATTTTTTGACCAAACACGGCACCACTGTCATCGCTCAGGCACCATATTCGCCAAACCTGGCGCCCTGCGACTTTTTTCTGTTCCCGAAACTCAAATTACCCCTTCGAAGTAAGCGTTTTGAGTCGATTGAATCCGTAAACAGAATTCGCTCAAAGAACTAAAAGCCATACCTTCACGAGCCTACGAAAAGTGTATGGAAGCGTTGGCATATGCTTCAGAAAGAGCAGATTTTGAAGAAGATAACATAAATTAGGTATAAAATTTAAATTTGTGTGTGTTATTTACAAAATCCGAATACTTTTTGTACAGAAGGTATACCTATTAAAATCCAATGCACTATATATTAATTATGCTAAATGGCTTGATCAATTAAAGGCCTGTGGGAACACCAGGTGCTATTAAGATCATTTATTTTATCATTTGCATATATTTTTAATCTTATTAAAACCCATATTTTTAAGTATCTCGGTATATGTTCTTCAGCCACTTTTTAAAATAAATGGCATATACCCATTCTTTTGTAGCTAAAATCAATAGAATTATCCAATTAAACTGACTCTCTTATTAAAACTTAAATTTTGTTTTTTTTTTGTTTTAAATAGAAGTGAACAATGAAATTTATACTTTTTATTAATTGAATTTTTGGTTGCTTCAAATATTGCAAAAAAATTCAATTTGACAGAAACAAATTTTCTGGTGTTCACTACCAATCAAACATAAAAAAAAAACCATTGCTATTGATACTACGACTCGGGAAGTATCGATAATTATGACGTCCTCAAAGTTATCTGGAGGTAACGAGTTTCACTAGTCTTTATTATATTATTATAATTACAATAATATTATTTTAATATTATAAATAATTATTAATGATTTGTATTTATGTTAAGTGTTTATATATATCTTATGTGTATATATATATCTTATATCTTATATATCTTATAGTTAAAAATATTCGACAAATCCATTTTCATTACAGTCACCGAACAAGCAAATAAATGGTCTCCAAGATATTGAAGTTGCTATGCCTGGATAGGGTAATAAAACGTAATTAATGGATCCATTTTTTTGGTAGCAACTTAAGCACAATTCATTTGTCGGAATAGGTGTCCATTAAAATATCAGTGCAATAGCGTTAAAACACCAATAACCACACAAACTGCATATCTGCTGTAGTTCAAAATATTTTTCGTTTAATTTCTGTCTACTCTAAGGCATAAGGTTCTAGCAATGTTTCATTCTTTACTCCACAAATCATTTGGCACTATAATAGTATATACCTATATGCTCGTAAAGTATTTACACATCGAAAATTGTACCATCGTATCGTTTTCGGAAATTTGGAATCAAATTGACTTCCTCAACTAATTGAGAAAGATTTGATCGTCCTTTCACTTTATCTACCTACCTGTGTTTGTAGATTCTAACAAAAGTCAGTATGGTTCTCCGCTTATTTTGACGACCTTTTGGTTAGACTTTCATTTGGTTAGTCTTTAATTTCGTTTGACTTTTAGCTTTTAAAAAACTGAAATGCTAATATATTGATTTTCTATTTCATAAATAAAACAGCTGTCAAAATATGGACAAAGTATAATATTAACTTTGATAAGTATGGATTTTAGATAAATTTTAATGCTAATAGATATATTTGTAGTTTTAGCGTCATTAATGCAATAGCTAATTTTTTGCATAGGTTTAAGTTTTTTTAAAATAAAATGGTTTTTATATACCTAAAGAAATGAATACTTCTAAGAATAACCACCTTAATTAGGTTGAGTATATTCCTAACATATGTTTTGTCTGAATGAATATAGGAATCATTAAACTTCGAATCAGTTTCTATATAAGTCCATTTCTTCATTGTACACCAATATTTAACTTCCTATACAGATTTACTGTAAAATGTATGTATTGTAGTCAATGAATATCTATCTTATTCAAATATTGTTACTTTACCAAAGTGACTGCTTCACTACTTAATTGAAATATATAAGCTGCTTTG